ATTATTTTATTATGATACAAAGATAGTTGTATCATGCTGACATTTAAAGTGATGTTCATCATACAAGAACTGCATTCAAATCATGATATGCATTGAAATTATTTTTGAAGAAATGAATAGATATGACAAGAAAATGAGCATCACCTTACTGACCCTTATAACATACAATATATGCTAATAACAATGTTTTCTCTTTGTGTCCAGATGCCAATAGTGGAGATCGCAGTCAGACCACAACTGCAGCCTCTGCCTCCGCCTCCGTCTCCAACACCTCAACCTGAGAGCCCCAGCCAATCAGACCTGACCCTGCCTCCGAGGCCACGCCAACCCCACTGCTCACCAGTTTAATGGGCAGGATTTGAGTCATGTAACCACCACTCTTATTCAGACTGCAAGAGCCATCCTTCATTTACGTCTTTTTTTTTTCTTTTTTTTTTACAAAGTTCAGAATGATACATGTGGAAAAGCCTCGTCGGGTGTAATTCACGAGAGCGACAGAGACAGAGAAAAAGAGAGAGCAGTCAGGAAACAGGTCGGGAAGGGGGGGTTAAATCATAAAACCTGGTCCGGGACCAGCCGGAACTTTTTCTTTTTTTTTCTCTTCTCATTCTCAGAGGACAATCTTATTATGTAAGCAATCCGGTAGCCAGATCCATCCACTTCCGTTCGCATTTGGGCTCACCTGAACCGTCCCTTGCTACACGTTCTCTCCCTTTATACTGTCCTGGGACTTTAATAGTGCATGGCTTGAATTTGGTTGGAGAGCACCCCATGTATATAGTACATATATATATATATATACAGTACATACATATAGTGTGTATATTCATATATATGTATATGTATTGGGTGAAAATGATGCAAGCATTCAGAACTAGAGGAAATATCGTATCTAAGCGTATCTAACAAACACAAGGCACCGTACAAGAGGTACAAATATAAAAACCGCATGTCGACCACTAAGACAAGAGAGAAATACTCTGTTACAGGGTTTTAAGTCGGCTGAATCTGTTTTATCTTGTTTTATAAAACGGGGGGGCTGTAGGGGAGGGGCAGACATTTTGATTGACAGGTGAGACGTGTGTCTCCATCTCTGTGTTCTTGTATGATATATACATACACAGTTTATATATTACTTTGCATTATGTAAAATAAATATATATATATATATATATATATAGTTATATATAGATCTATATCTAGCATCAGAATCCATCACAGTTTGTCAGTGCAGCGGCCACATACTGAAATGATACAGTATGTGAATGACTAAGACACTGCTGGAGCTCTTTTCTAGCAAGCGTTTCGCGCTTCTCTGCTGTTTTCTGTTAGCCTGGTAGAATTATAGATCACCTTCTGTCCTGATTTCCTCTGGTTATTTATTGTCGCGTGCGCGTCAGTGTCGTTCTTATCCACACAGCTAAACATAAAGAACACATGAAGAGACGCATCGATGTGGCGCCGACTTCACAGAGACTGTGTTTGTGCTCCATTCGCAATGTTAAACTGAAGTGGCTGTGCTGTTTTAACCACTACTTTTTTCCTTCATCATGTCTCAGCATAACGTACGGAAAAATGTACTTTTTTTATTTCCCAAAATGTCTTAATACACAAAGTATAGCAGTAAGAAAACGACAGACGTGTATATACAGTACAGCACAGTTGCTCCTCACCAAATTCTGGCTTTTACTTTTACTTTTTATGTTTTGTTTGGATTTTTGTATCATTTGTGAGCGTGTGTGATTGAGTGAGCGAGTGTTCTGCTATGTACATAAATATGCTGACCTGAGAACTGTTAATGAGCGAAAACAAAGACGCGGGATTAAATGAAAAATGGATCAAAGAAAAAACAAAAGTAAAAGATCAGGGCAAACATGACCTGTTTGTTGGATACTGTAGACAAGGAGCTTTCTCCAGCCATATAGTTCAATCTTATCTGTACAGTAGGTGCCAGCTATATTATTGTAACTATAACTAGTAATGTATAGTGTATCTATAGTTTGGAGTGCCTTTGCTTCCATACACTTCCTGTCCCTAGACCACACCCACTTCCTGTCCACACACAAGACAGACCACACCCCTTCCTGTGACCATCTGCAGGTGCTGTTGATTGGTCAAGTCTAAATGACTGACAGCCGAATTCATTTCCTATCAGAAACCACATTCAATGGCATTTCTGTAAATGTTTTTCCTCACTTGATTATTATTATTTTTCCGAGTTTGGCACAAAGGTGTTTTTGTGTGCGGAGGAGTCACGTTCCTGTGGAGCCAATCACAATGTATGTTCTTACACTCGTTCCACTACCAAAGTGAACCAACTATGAGCGTGATGTGATGTAACTGCAACATCCCAGGGGCAATAATAATGATTTCTTTGTGTTTTCGCTCGTTGGCCAGCCGACAGTATGCGGTAGAGATAGTCAAGTAGCACCCGCCGGACCCTCATCCCCGCACCTTCAATGTAAAGCTTGCTTGTAAGATGCGCATTCATAGATGTGTTGCTTTCCACGAATGGTGTGACCACCTCACGTGACTAAAGTTAGAGTAAAAATGTAAAGACACAAGGTTTAAAAACAATTACCAAAAAAACAAAAAAGTTTTAAGGACTGTGGGCTAAATACAGACTATCGCATTACATACACTTATTGGGAAAAAAATTGTCTTGGTTTAAAATGGAAAAAAGGAAAAAAAAAATTCAACCTGTATAACATTAATATTACTTGAATGCCTCTGTTTGTGACTGAAATTTTTATTTTATTTTAAATATATTCTTTTTCTGTGAAGGTATGCTAAATGTCTCCTCTCCTTGTAAATATGTCCGTTTTGGTCCTTGGTGTGACTTGGATTCAGAGACTAGTTACCTGGTACTGTAATTTGCATTAAATAAAGAGTAGGATAGCTTGGAAATGACCCTGCATTTGCCACGCGTCTTTCTTTACCCAACTCAAGATGTCGCTATCCTCAAATTCAATCCATTTAGACTAAATTAACATGCAAGTAAATGTCTCTCTTTTTCTTCACTCTTGCCTAATGTGTTTAAAGGTGATTGTGGTAAGCGCCTGAGTTCAAATAAAGCATACTTTAAATGCATTTTAAGTTGCTTTGGATAAAAGCACGTGTTATAGCCTACTACCGTTCAAAAGTTCAGGGTCAATTGGTTTCTGAAGTATCATGTGTCTGGAGTAATGATGCTGAAAATTCAGCTTTGCCATCACAGGAATAAATTACTTTTTAAAATATATTCAAACAGAAAATAGTTTTTGTAAACTGTAATAATATTTCACAATATTGCTATATTTTTGATTAAACAAATGGAGCTTGATTTAAAAAAAAAAAAAGATATATATATATATAAAAAATTTTAACAGTACGTTATGAGGAAATGATTTACACTTAGAAACCGGGTTCCCGCGGGTCCTTAAAATGTCTTAAAAATAATTGTACTATCAAATTTAAGGACATAAAAGTCTTAAATGGTTCAAGAAAGTCGTAATTATGATTTCAAGAGGTCTTAAATTTGTGGACGGAGAAAAACTGATTTGCATATAGCTTAATGTGACGATTAAACTTCAAAAGGTTATGATTCCACTGAATAAACAAGAGCGCTGTACTGTTTCAAAGTCCGGTGCTGCTGCTTTGTTCACTGCGGTTACCCGGGGAAACAGTTATATTTCTGCCGTTCGGAAAGCGCCTCCTGCTGGCAGAGAATGAATTTGCATTTTCAATAAGCACGTCTGCTGTTTTTGTTCAGACTAATGAGAAAATCAACCCATGTTTTTACACTGCAAACATGCAGAGTTGTAAATGTGAGCTGGTGGATTGACAAGAAGATTATAAATACATTATAAAATTCTAAGCAATTAAGACAATTATATTTGTGTTAATTAATATAATAGTTGAATAATTGTTTAAATTAATAATTGATACTTTTGACTCATCTATTTATTTATTTTTATTATTTGAAAGCTGAAATGTGAAGTTTATAATTTTATAAACCTTACTGTTTTTGTGAAAACATGTATATCGTACACGGACAAACATGCTTTTTACAGTTATGTAACCATAGACATGGCCCTTTTGCGCTCATACGGTATTTTATTTGTACAGGTCTTAAAAAGTCTTAAATTTGAGCTTAAAAATCCTGCAGAAACCCTGTAGAAAATAAACAGTTACACAGTTAAAGATTCTACACACATGCTCATAAAATTTTACATTTTATTTTCCTGAGCGGGACATATACATCTTACTCTGCAAATAATCACTGTAAAGACAGAAAACCTGAGTGTATTGTGTAGAAATGATTCGTGTTGTGACAAATTTCCTCATAAATCAGACAGGATAAAATAACTGCTTAATCTAAACAAGATGCCAATATGAAGGCATCTGTGCTTTATAGAGACGCCCGACATCTGAAAACTGCTTGTATTTATGTCTAAATAAAGAATATTTTCCAAAAATACTGCATTCCTAGTTTGAACACTAAACATCTGCTCTACATTGTCATTTCACATTTGACACTAGCTCACAATCGTCACATCGATTGTCATTGTTAACTTTTTTAGCTTTAATGACAAAATGAACCACAAAAGGTCCAAATGACCTTTAAATGCTTTCTGATGTCTGTTCAGTAGATTTGCTTGAAAGTGAAGGTTACTGCTGAGTGAAGAACTTCAAAAGGCAATCACTTCTCAAGAAAGTGTCTGTGTGATGAACTCTTGCAGCCTCCTAAAATTTCTGATATGTTGCACAAAATACAGCAAGCTTTTTTTCTAATAAAGCATTCACAACAGGCATGAAATGAATAGCTCTTTTGATACCCAGCCACATGTCAGTGAATCTCACAAAACCTGACAAGAACATAATCCACGCCCAGAACACATAGTTTGCATAAAAGTAAGCCAACTTTTTTCATTACCATAAAAAAATCCCATTCTCATTACTGTAACGAAAAATAATTATAGATATAAAAATAAAAATAGATATTTTGCATAAAAAGCCTATATATTTTTTTTCAATATGTAGAGTAAATTAAGACCTGAACATGTTCTTTATGAGATTCATAACTCCATTTACATTCTAATCTGGAAAATGTTTGAATCAAATATAGCTACTCACATCCGACACTGGCATTGATATTAAATCATTTGAACACAACATACCTTGAAGCGGTTAACTTATACCACTATTTTGCATTAAAAAATGAATAATAAATAGATTCGTCAAGACAGACTATTAACACAAATGACTAGTATAGTATCATATTGTTGTTTTATACATTTGTGATGCTGCCATAATAACTTGCTCTTACTGCATCACATTTCAAGCTTCATTCATGCTGTAAATGTAAGAGATATTATGTGCCATCCTACATCTGGTTATGAACCATAGACATTGTTCTTTCGTGAAAAGATCCAGAAAAAGATTACTCGTGAGATAAACTCAAACACCATTACATGTAGTTACACAGCTATAAAACGACAGGTTCACAATAGCAGTGTGCTGCAGTTCAGTAGTTCATTATCAGTAGGCACCGTCCTTGTCCTCGCTAGTTTTGACTATATTTCAGTCCTTAGTGTCCTCAGATGAAGGTCAACGCGGCTGGTGATAGCGAGTTCAAGGCCAGTTAGTTGAGTCATCTGCTCTGTGAAGGCTTAGCTGTCTTTGCTTATTATTTCCAGTAAAAGCGGAGACGCTTCAGGCTGAATGTCTTGGATTTTCAGCACTTGTTTCGTATACTCTTCATTCATACTCCTCATCTCAGTCAGGCACGCCATGATCTTTGGGAACAGCAGACTAGCAGAAGGAGAAGGTTCAAATGAAAGTGCAATCAAAGAAATAGTTTTCCTTGTGAGACAGAAATACTGTACTGCGTTCTTACTGTTTCTCTGGCTCGGTCCTCTTGGCCTCAATGTAGGTCTTCAGGGTGAGAGCTAGTGTTTCCTGGTTGCGGTCGATCACGCTGTGATGTTTCACACCGGGCCGATCTGTGGATGAAAACACACACGTAAGAGGTGAAACTGCTGGCCGCGTGTGTTCATGTGAATGTGAGCTCCATCTGAAATACCTGGTGAGAAGAGCGAGATGGCCTGCATCAGCACATACTCCTCTTCACGCAAGTGCAGCTTGCGCAGTGTGTAATGGAAGTTCATCATAGGGTCCAGCAGATGACGCTGGAAACCAGCTGACCGGTGGGGGAGGAAAGAGACAAACCGATGCAGTATGTCTACTTGTAAATGCCTTCAGAAGCATGTAATACAAAACATTACCCTAGATTCATTTATTGATGTTTCATTTCTAAGAGGAGAGACTTTTTGGTTAATTAAAATAAAGCTGAAATCAAATCAAATATAAATATTAGATGGAAAACTTACAATTAGGAAACTTAAGACAAAACTTACACAAAACTTAGAAATGTTGCCATGCAACTAATTGAAAATGTATTTTGTTTAATTTAGTTTAAACTAAAATTCTTAAAACGAAAACTGAAATAGAAATAAATTAAAGCCAAACAGAAATATACAGTATATATAAAAAAAATCACATAAAATAAAATAAAAATTCGACTTTAATTAAAATGAAAACTGATTAACTAACTAAAATTACTAAAACCCGAAATAAATTAAATATAAACAGAAATATTAAAAACAAAAACTAATAAAATTTTTTTTACAAAATCACAACAAAAAACTAATAAAAATGAAAACTGTTTAACTAAAACTTCTAGAAATATTAACATATAAAGTATAATAATATAAATAATACTCAAATTACACTGATGATGAATTTCCTCTTGTAACAGTAAGATTTAATTGAGTTCTCAGTTATGATTCATTTAAGCATTAAGCATTTATATCAGTGTTAAAATATAAAAGAAAAGAAAAGAAAAGTCACACGAGAAGTGCTCACAACGTCAGTGTGCATAGCTCAAATCAGTTGGTCTTGAAAGAATTAGTGGCAAATATTCATATTGGATCTGACTTGAGTATTTTATTCTGTGCTGTATACTGAGGTTATTTTTTATGCAGATGTGTCCATTTGATCTACATGTGTGACCCTGGACCACAAAACCAGTCATAAGGGTAAATTTTTCGAAATTGAGATTTATACATCATCTGAAAGCTGGACAAATCAGCTTTCCATTGATGCATGGTTTGTTAGGATAGGGCAATATTTGGCCGAGATACAACTATTTGAAAATCTGGAATCTGAGGGTGCAGAAAAATCTAAATACTGAGAAAATCGCCTTTAAATTTGTCCAAATGAAGTTCTTAGCAATGACTATTACTAATCAAAAATTAAGTTTTGATATATTTACAGTAGGAAATTTACAAAATATCTTCATGGAACATGATCTTTACTTAATATCCTAATGATTTTTGGCATAAAAGAAAAAAAGGGTACATTTTTCGAAATTGAGATTTATACATCATCTGAAAGCTGGATAAATCAGCTTTCCATTGATGTATGCGTTGTTAGGATAGGGCAATATTTGGCCGAGATACAACTATTTGAAAATCTAGTATCTGAGGGTGCAGAAAAATCTAAATATTGAGAAAATCGCCTTTAAATTTGTCCAAATGAAGTTCTTAGCAATGAATATTACTAATCAAAAATTAAGTTTTGATATATTTACAGTAGGAAATTTACAAAATATCTTCATGGAACATGATCTTTACTTAATATCCTAATGATTTTTGGCATAAAAGAAAAATCAATAACTTTGACCCATACAATGTATTTTTGGCTATTGCTACAAATATACCCCAGCGACTTAAGGTTTTGTGGTCCAGGGTCACATTTGATCTGATTTCAGACTAGAAGCATTTGACATGTGACAGGGATTATGTTTGTGAAATCTCCTTGCTATGGCTGCTTCACGTCGACATGGTAAAGCAGTCCCATCTGTTTGCTTTGAAACAATGCATGTTCATTAAACAGAAGAGCTGTTGTGAATAACAGCTGTATGATGGTAATGACATTCAATTTAAGGCTTTTACAGCTGCGTCTCAGAGACTGTAGAAAATCAGGGTAATTGGTCAATATGTAATGAAATGCCACTTCTTTAGCAACTATGAACATTTAGCCTTGAGAAGCAAATATAAAGAGAAAATCAAGGATGGACTGAAACTTGTAATAACGCCACCACAGCCTTTAAATATGCCACATATGGGTTCTTAATTAAAAGGGCCATATTAACATTAAAGTAAGCAAAAAAAATGCTTATGGTGACTGTAAGATTTAAAAATGCAAAAAGTACTGCTAGATAACACAATACAGTATACATTTTTATTATGTAATTTAGGTGCTTTCACACCTGTAGATCGATTGCTTTGTTCCGAAACAGGGATTACAATTATTACAATGTTGCTTTTTATTCTTGGTGCGGTTCGCTTTCATATGGCACTGTTTCTAAATGGACCAAATTTGTTAATACAAGTCACGCGTGAGTAAACTGTTCTCTCATTGGTCAAAGTTTCACGGTTTATTTTCCGGGATGTCATCTGTCAGGATGGAACGACAACAGCTTCGCGGGCTTATTGTTGTTGTTTTTTTTTGTAGATGTCGTTATATTAATTCATCACTTTGAGCAGGAGTCCAGGATTCATCGGGAAAACATTTTTAAAATGCACATACTAGGAAGAAGAGCAATAAGCTGGCATTATAAAATGAAAAAGTGCGCTTTGATTTTGAATGGCGAAGACGTGCTCACCCACAGACATTCACATGGTTCATTTTGAAGTATTAGCAAAACAACAAAGCTAATGCTTTTCACGGAACTTACGTAATTACCCATTATACATTGTGATATAGCAGGGGTGCCCAAACTCGGTCTTGGAAGACCGTTGTCCTGTAGAGTTTAGCTCCAACTTGCCTCAACACACCTGCTGGTAAGTTTCTAGTATGCCTATAAGAGCTTGATTAGATGGTTCAGGTGTGTTTGATTAGGGTTGGAGCTAAACTCTGCAGGACACCGGCCCTCCAGGACCCAGTTTGGGCACCCCTGTCCAAGACGAAAACCACTGCTGAGCAAAAAGAACATAAAGGCTCGTCTCAGTTTTGCCAGAAAACATCTTGATAATCCCCAAGACTTTTGGCAAAATACTCTGTGGACTGACGAGACAAAAGTTGAGTTTTTGGAAGGTGTGTGTCCCATTACGTCTGGCGTAAAAGTAACAATGCATTTCAGAAAAAGAACATCATACCAACAGTAAAATATGGTGGTGGTAGTGTGATGGTCTGGGGCTGTTTTGCTGCTTCAGGACCTGAAAGACTTGCTGTGATAAATGGAACCATGAATTCTGCTGTTTACCAAAAAATCCTGAAGGAGAATGTCCGGCCATCTGTTCGTGACCTCAAGCTGAAGCGAACTTGGGTTCTGTAGCAGGACAATGATCCAAAACACACCAGCAAGTCCACCTCTGAATGGCTGAAGAAAAACAAAATGAAGACTTTGGAGTGGCCTAGTCAAAGTCCTGACCTGAATCCTATTGAGATGCTGTGGCATGACCTTAAAAAGGCGGTTCATGCTCGAAAACCCTCCAATGTGGCTGAATTACAACAATTCTGCATAAATTCCTCCACAGCGCTGTAACAGACTCATTGCAAGTTATCGCAAACGCTTGATTGCAGTTG